AAACAAAGCACTTAGATGTTTAAGTATTGTTAACTATGTTAATTATACTTATATTTCGTTTATTTTGCGTTCAATTTTTATGTATTGCTGTTATCTATTTTATCATAGGCTAGTTGCCTTTTATTTATATTTGTCCTATCTTATTTATAAGTATGATCAGCTTATTTGCTAAATTTAGTAAAACTACAAAAATATCGGTATATTGCCTTTATAGTAGTTGCTTCTCCATCAAATTCCACTTTTACAGGCGTCGATTTCATTGAATAGCTTTTCATTCTAATTTTGATTTTTGAAAAATCTACTGTTTATTGTTCCTGGTATTCCATTTCCCATAGCTTATTTCGAAACGATTTTTCACTCGGTATTCAGTCATTGAATTAACTAAATAAGTCGTCACTGATTTTAGTTTTTAATCGAATATACTATCATCTTCATATACCATGTTTCTCGGGCGTTTTTAATCTCACTACTCAAATTTGGTATTTTTATGACTGTCAACTCTATTTTGCCTCATTTTGCTCATCACTATACTATCATGATTCGATTTTTAAGGTATATGTTTAGTTTAACTCTATAAATATGTTTTCTTGTTTGACGATTATACTAACCAAGTATAAACTTTTTTAGGTAATCGAAAATACGAAAGTTATTATTAATGTGTTCGCGTGCATTTAATATTATTTCTTCATTTAGATTCTTTAAACTATTTAAGTTTTAGTCTAAATATATTCTTCATTCATTTATGCTACGGCTGGTTGGAAATATTTGAGAAATTTGTTGTATTATAAGCAACAAAAAAATCATTCTTTTAGAATTTTGTATTACTTCTTAAAAATTTGTTCTGGATTCTCATATGACGTGCTCTATCTCCGGCTTAGATACTACCGCGCTCCTGAAGTGATACTCGGTATGGGTTACTCAGAGAATGTGGATATATGGTCTGTCGGCTGCATTTTTGCCGAGATGGTTCTTGAGAGGATTATGTTTCCTGGTTACGACCACATCGATCAATGGACTAAGATTACTGAGGAGCTGGGCACTCCGAGTGCAGAGTTTATGGACAGATTAGACCTTCCAGTGCGCAATTACGTTATGTCAAGACCTCGCAACCCGCCCCGCCCCTTCATTGACCTCTTTCCTGACGATCGATTTCCCCTGGCTAGTCCAGTTAGTAGCCCATTAATTCATTTAATCCCTATTATTAGCTATTTTTCAAAATAATAATCAGCCAATTTCGAACAGCACGTTTTCTTAAAGCGTTTTAACTTTTTTTTTATTAATTCTGTTTAATCCTTGCCATTTAATCTTTATAGAATTTCAACCATAACCTAGTTCCGCTTAATTTCAGCACTAATCCCTAATTATCCTGAGTTATGATTTGACTTCCGTTAAAAAGCTTACTTTTTTTTTCTTGAAATAAACCGAAAATCTAACCAAACCAGCAACTAAATACAAAATTCAAAAATGTTTTTTAACCTTCGCAACCTTCTAACACAAACTATATTGGTTGTTTGATGGTACAAAACATGATCCTACCTACTAATAATGCTGACCATAGCGCATGAAAAATCTACCGGGTTAATATTCTGATGCTTTACTAACATAACTACATTAGCGGAAGAAGAAACGCGATGCAA